AAATGTGTTGTGATTGGTTAGCTGGGCCAGTGTGTGCTGTGATTGGCAGCACTCGGCGGCGCCTGGTCGGGAAATGTCACGTCCCTTACCATAGCCGCCTGCGAGCTTCAGTGTAAATATTGCGTCAAAATCAAATCAATTTGAGCGCGATTTAAACCCGGATGATTGTAACCACTCTAAGTTCGTCTGTCTTGGGAAAGCTAGCGTGTCTCCGACATGTGATAACACTCGTTGCCTTCTCTAGTGCAGCTCAACCAGGTCTCGTCCCATTCATCGATATTTGTGATATCACAAATCCCGGAAAATATGCGTTGTAGTCCAAACGAGTCGTTCGCTGTAGTTTTTGAAAAGTGATTTCTGTTAAATAAAATATCTCCTTTTGGAGTAGACTCTGAACTTTGTAACTTTGCACATCTTTTTTATGCTCAAACAGCAACATTACTAACTCAAGTTGAAAAAGTGAAAAAGCATAATAGGACCCCTTTAAGACCCGTTCACACCAATAACGATAAAGGCAGCTATAACGCTAAATATATAGAGACGTCTATTTGCATTTACATCTGCAAGACGTTTGTTTTAGAGTGTTTGCTCATCTGCAATACGTCTACAGGACGTTTCCTATCAGATGTCAAATAGACGTTTAGAAGATGCATGTAAAACTGACAAGTCGGGTGTATTCTGATTGGCTGTCATTGTTTTAATCGTTCATCAGCTGCGTCGTTATAGTTGTGGTGTGAACTTAGAACTTAGAATAGGGTATTCTAACAGAATTAGGATGCTTTTTAAAACTTTATCATTATATTTATCGTCCTTGGTGTGAACGGGTTTTGTTATTTACATATTTGCATATTTGTTAAATGATTTGCATCTTAAAATTAATTCACAATATACATTTTTGTGTAGGCCCCCTGGGAATCGAACATTTGCATTGCTAACAACAGAAACTTATAGTATAGTTTAAAAACACTCCTCTATTAATTTACTGATAACAAAGTGATTGTTTTATAATATTACTTTGTTTTTGTCCTAAAGACATTATCACAGCATGGATGCCTTCAGCAATTTCGACCTCCTGGACGCCCCCACGGGCAGAAAGGTGGCTGAGGGACATAAAGCCAGTTTCTGTCTGGAGGACACCAGCTGTGATCCGGGTGTGAGGAGAAGATACGCCTGCACAGCTCACACACAGGTCAAGAGAATAAAGTGACTCATGTGAAACGTCAAATTTTCCACAATTAAGTAGTTTTATTAGCCGGTTTAGAACTACGGTCTTTTTTGGAGCAGGGATTGGGCCCAGGCTGCTATGACACCTACCATGCCAACATCGACTGTCAGTGGATTGATATTACGGATGTTTCTCCTGGAGATTATATTCTAAAGGTGAGCTATCAGTTAGTCATTCCATTTTTTCGTTACACCAAAAGTTAGAAACACCTTTTGAAACTGTGAACCATTGACAGGTAACCGTGAACCCAGGTTTCCAGGTGCAGGAGTCTGATTTCTCCAATAATGTTGTTCGATGTGACATCAGATACACTGGGTCGTATGTCCAAGCATATAACTGCAGAATCACAGGGTGAGTTTTAAAAAGCCATCGAATCAGAAGTCTCTTTATCACACTTTAATGGTGTTTATTTATTTCACAGACACTGATCCGGTTTTCTTCATACAAACCTCCAGTGGAGCTCTGAATTGAAATCCTCAAAAAAAATAAAAAAATCACATTGTTATGGATAGATTGAGCATTAACTTGACTTATTTTTACTTATTTAAATTTATGTTCTCTGCAGACACTCTTCTAACAAAGTTATTGACATATTCAGTAAATGTTTAATAAGTGCCAATAATGCTATACTATGAATTTCTTTTAATTTATTAACCTTTTGTCAATTATATCGTATATTTATATTTGCTTTTTATTTCTGTAATTTGGTGTAAACTTTGGTGTTACAGTTTTAGAAAAACATAAATAACATTCACAACAGGAATGTTTTGTTCAAAGAAGATTAGAAATAAAGCAACAAAGTTATTGACATATTCAGTAAATGTTTAATAAGTGCCAATAATGCTATACTATGAATTTCTTTTAATTTATTAACCTTTTGTCAATTATATCGTATATTTATATTTGCTTTTTATTTCTGTAATTTGGTGTAAACTTTGGTGTTACAGTTTTAGAAAAACATAATAAATAACATTCACAACAGGAATGTTTTGTTCAAAGAAGATTAGAAATAAAGTTGAGAGCTCACCCAGATTTTTATGGTTCATTCATAGGTTTTACTACTAGTTAGGGGTGTAACGGTTCACAAAATTCATGGTTCAGTTCGATACGACACAGGGGTGTCACGGTTCGGTATGTTTTTGATACAGCAAAAACAAAGAAATGCCAGACAAATTTCCTTGATTTGTGCTTTTTTTTAAAAACTAGTATCATATGATCTTAAAAATATTTTAGACTTTGGAAGGCCTTTTGACTTTTGCCGTTTATCTAAGATGATTTTGGACGCTTTTTTAACATTCGTTTTTTAATTTATTTGGTTCCACGGTGTTTGCTGATTTGAAGTGTTTTATATTTAAACTTTGTGTAAGTTATTTGTTATTTTATATTAGGCCTATAGCATGTTGTGTTTGTGTTCGTTTTGCTAATAAATTAAACATTCTATGTTTAATTTAAATGAGTTTATCGTACTGTTTTGTTGTTGTCAATTCAATCAATTGATGGCGAAATGCCGTTAATTCGAAAGTGAAAGTAAAATGCGCACAAGCGTTTAAGCTATTTAAAAGCGAGGAAAAGAGGGGAAACTCTAATGAACTACCTCACCGTCATAACCTGGAGTACATTATATTTCACACACTTTAAGCTCTTATTTTTCCCCAAATGTAATAGGATTACTTCAAGTTACGAATCGTTCGGTTTGTAATGCATACCGAACGGTTCACTACAAATACGTGTATCGTTACACCCCTACTACTAGTTCATGTTCTTTAACCACTGGTTCATATATATTCATAGTTTTCTGAAGTGATTCTGGTTGTGGCTCAAATGAAAATGGGTCTGGGGTAAAATCAACACAGCCAGACATCAGAGTCATGAAAGTTCAGTTTTCTCAAGACCTCCAAACATGCTGAGAGTGCAACAAAGTCTCCGGAAACGGTCTCTTCTGCTTGAACATTTAACATAACACTAGAAAGAGAAATTCCAGAGCCATCGTGGACAGGGAAACATTCATATGAGAGCTGAATTCAGAAGGAAACTCTGTCACTTTTGACGGTGGAGAAGACTTCTATTGGACGTTTTGAAATGAGCCACAACCTGAGTGGCTGGGAAATTTGATGAATATATGTGTTAATTCAAATGAAAAAGCCCACAAGGGGGTTACTGTAACTCATAGACAAGGCACTCATTGAGAAGTGTTAGTCTCAGGAAAAAATGACACATGCTGATGATGAATGATGTTTGGAGAGGTGAAAAACATCTCTGATGAATGGTGGGGTCCTTTTCTTTTTTTAACTAATTCAGATGCACAAATAATCCATTACAAATCATCTAAAATTGTTAATGTAGTAACACAGATGTTTTCAGTTAGAAGTTTCCAGTTCAGATAGAAATGAAAGAAACAAAGACCCGGGCCTCTTTCTAACTCTTCTGGCATTAAAGACATGTATTTTGTTGCAATATTTTCCCTTAAGGACTGAAGTGCATATCTTTAACGAAGTTAAAAAAAATTTTTTTTTTTAAATCAGAACATCTAATGCAGGGGTGCCCAAACTCGGTCCTGGAGGGCCGGTGTCCTGAAGAGTTTAGCTCCAACCCTAATCAAACACACCTGAAGCAGCTAATCAAGCTCTTACTAGGCATACTAGAAACTTGAAGGCAAGGTGTGCTGAGGCAAGCTGGAGCTAAACTCTGCAGGACACCGGCCCTCCAGCACCGAGTTTGGGCACCCCTGATCTAATGCTTCAAAAGTATAATAAGATATTTAAAGGGATAGTTCACCCAAAAATGAAAATTCTATCATTAATTACTCACCCTCATGTCGTTCCAAATCTGTAAGACCTTCATTTATCTTCGGAACACAAATTAAGATATTTTTGATGAAATCCGAGAGCTTTCTGACCCTCCATAGACAGCAACGCAACTGAAACGTTCAAGGCACAGAAAGGTATAAGGACATCATTAAATTAGTCCATGTGACATCAGTGGTTCAACCTGAATTTTATGAAGCTACAATACTTTTTGTGCACAAAGAAAACAAAGAAAATTATTTTCTTCCATGTCAGTCACGAGTCACACATGCGTTGTGGTACTCTCATGAATGCGCGTTGAAGTTTGACATGGAAGGGAAGAAATTGTTGAATACAGTCATTATTTTTGTTTTCTTTGTGCACAAAAAGTATTCTGGTAGCTTCAGGACATTATGGTTGAGCCATGCCACATGGACTATTTTAATGATGTCCTTACTTACATTTCTGGGCCTTGAACATTGTCTATGCAGGGTCTGAACGCTCTTGGATTTCATCAAAAATATCCTAATTTCTGTTCCGAAGATGAACGAAGGTCTTGCGGGTTTGGAACGAGACGAGGGTGGGTAATGGTGCGTTCAAGTCATGTCGGGGTGCACAAAAAGTATTCTGGTAGCTTCAGGACATTATGGTTGAGCCATGCCACATGGACTATTTTAATGATGTCCTTACTTACATTTCTGGGCCTTGAACATTGTCTATGCAGGGTCTGAACGCTCTTGGATTTCATCAAAAATATCCTAATTTCTGTTCCGAAGATGAACGAAGGTCTTGCGGGTTTGGAATGAGACGAGGGTGGGTAATGGTGCGTTCAAGTCATGTCGGATAGATCGTATTTAGTCGTAGATCGTAGTTGAACGTAGTTAGATCGTAGTTAGATCGTAGTTGAACGCACATGAACGCCACCACAAAGTCGTTATTACGAGTGGGAAACTCGAAATGTTCTTTAAGCCCTGAGTTTCAGAGTTGGGGGCGTGTCAATGAGAAACATGGCGGAATCGATGGATGCAACGTCTGTAATTGACAGTAAATTTTTATTTAAATTGATAGTTTAGTTGTCTTATAAACTTAAATTGGTCATGTTCTTGTTACGCAGCTAGTTAATGAAATCCAAGTAAAAAAAATGCTATAATTTTTGCACCTATAGGTGAAAAATCTTTTGATTTGCCATGTTGCATGTTGCATTTAGCTAACAGCTTTTTTATCTCTGTATTTTAGCGTTTGTTGATGCTGAAAATCAGTTATACTGGGATCCTGGTCTAAAAATGATATAGAAAAAACGCAAAACACACCTGATGCGAATTCTTTGCTCTTCATTTTCTATAAGCAGAGTTAACAGACCCTGTTGTATTTTCTTGTAATTTATTAAAAGAAGGTACACCGCCATCTTGCGCCGACTAAACTGACTTGATGTTGTAATTACGACTTGTCAACTCGTCCCAGGAGGACTTGAACGCAGCATAATTAATGACAGCATTTTCATTTTTGAGTGAACTATCCCTTTAATGCTTCAACTCATGTTCATGCGACATTCAAATATAATATTTATATTTTGACAGTGAAATTTCTATTTGAATCTACAGTAACAATGCTATTTTTGTATATTCAAAATGTCATTCAAATGTTATTCATACATTTGAATGTGCATAACCTTTCTTAGCATACAAATTCTTTTTTGGGCCAGTGTAAATGTGTAGAAATGAGTTGTTATTCTACTCCAGTCCACTAGAAGCTTAACACCTCTGACCACACAACTTTCCCATCCTATGAAGAACACACAGGAACAGTCAGGGCTGGCATCTTTTCATTCACAACACCTACACAGACCTCTCATGCATAAAGCATCATGGCATGCAAGGATCAGATAAACGCGTGTGTAAAGCTGCTGCTGCTGTCAGTGGTGTTGTGCGCCGCACGCGCCTCTGCTGACAGGACTAAAACTCTCGACTTCGATGTCAAACCTGGAGGAGTTGTGCAGACTTTCTCGGCCAAACTTGTGAGTAACGCTTTTTAATATTTTAGCAACGAATACAATTTGAAAACATGTTTTTATGAATCGAAAGTTAAACGTATTCGTTCCACTGGATGATTTGCATTGGCACGATTTCGTCTTTTTGAAAGTATATTAATACTGTACTTCGTATTTATTAAAATGCATGTATATTAAACTCGTATAGTAATGAATGCATGCTGTGAGATCCACCCGTCGTCTTCTCATTGGACTGTCGCTGACATTCACTGCGCCGCCTAGCGACACGGCTTGACTTTATAAAGGAATAGTTTAGTCAAAAAACAAAACTTATTACATCATTTACTCACCTGCATGTCATTCCGACACCGTATGACTTGATTTCTTCTGTCATCAAATTTTGCTGCTCTTTTCTAATGAATGAAATTGGATGGAGATGTGAAGAGCCGAAAAGGCTAATGCTGCGTTCAAGTCCTTCTGCGGCAATCGTACTTTTTTTTTTTTTTTTTTTTGCCGTTGCAGTCTGTCAGTCGTGTAATGCATGGCAATGGTAACAAAATCTATGAGAGTAAAAAAACATGCACAGACAAATCCAAATTAAACCCTGCGGCTCGTGACGACACATTGATGTCCTAAGACACGAAACGATTGGTTTGTGCCAGAAACCCAACAGTATTTATATCATTTTTTACCTCTAATACACCACTATGTCCAACGGTCTTTGTGCGCGCGCACGGCATCTGGTGCGTGAGGTGTGTACGTGCTCTGCCGTAGTTTACGTTAATGGGTGTGTTGATATCCAGCCGAAGAGCAATCAAGCATAACTTCAGGCGAGCAGGCTCAGAAGTTGGGAATACGTGGAAAGTCACCACTCCTGAACGAGTTTGCGCGAGAGAACGTGATCTTTTAGTTTTAAGTCGGTTTGAACAATCCAGATAAGCGCAAGTACCATTTTGATTAGCCGTCGTACCTACAATGACTGTGCACTGTGTAAACAATGAGTGACGTATACGCGCGAGAGTAAACTACGCCAGAGCGCGTACACACCTCACGCACCGGATACCGTGCGCTTGCTCAAAGACAGTTGAACATAGTGGTGTATTAGAGGTAAATATGATATAAATACTGTTCGGTTTCTGGCACAAACCAATCGTTTCGTGTCTTAGGACATCAATGTGTCATCACGAGCCGCAGGGTTTAATTTGGATTTGTCTGTGCATGTTTTTTTACTCTCATAGATTTTGTTACCATTGCCATGCATTATACGACTGACAGACTGCAACGGTTAAAGTTAAAAATCATCATATGTGTTCTACTGAAGAAACAAAGCCACCTACATCTTGGATGCTCTGGGGGTAAGCAGATAAACATCAAATTTTCATTTTTGGGTGAACTATCCCTTTAAAGATGTCTATCAGATGTTTGTACACAGCAGATGCTTTCCAGATCAAGAGATCTTTAACAGACATCTTGCAGACGTACCTGTGCTATCTGGGTTCAGATGTAAGTAGCGTTAGGTGTGACGCAGTGTTCATTGGTTTTCATTCGTACCACGTTTAAACCTTTCAGAAACATTTTAGTTTTATTTTAGTATTAATAATGGTCAGTATTTTGACAGGAACTATTGTTACCATGGTTATTTTTGTAAGGGTCAACGTCCTTTCAATGCAGAGCCTTCTTCAAAAGTTCAGTTTAGTCTGGGAAATTTGCATATTACGTAGGTGGAAGCTTGGCATTGTCCACCTGTTTATCTATATACAGTGATGTGTTTCTTGGTTTCTTTTTAGAAAAAGTATAAATGCATCTTCAGATATGCTTGTCAAGGAGGAACCAACGAGGTAAGACATATTTTCTGTTTTACATTATGTGCTGAGAAATAAAAGTTTTGTTTTTGTTGCACTGACCTTTATTTTGTGAACTGTATACTTTTAGTTTGAAGGTTGAAGATATATATATATATATACCTTCAATCCTGTTTGCTGAGAAGTTTATTATATTTTCAAAGATAAAATGAGGAAATTAAAAGTTGCTGTTCGACCCTCCTAAAATTTGTAGCTTTGTATCTGTAAGCATTTTAAGACAATGCCAACTATTGTTACGGCATCAAGACATTTGTCACTGGCACTAACAACCAGGAAATTGTAGCAATTATGCTCCTGTCGTAAAATGTCCTGATTTCACAGAATTGCGCCAGATAAAATGAGGAAATTAAAAGTTGCTGTTCGACCCTCCTAAAATTTGTAGCTTTGTATCTGTAAGCATTTTAAGACAATGCCAACTATTGTTACGGCATCAAGACATTTGTCACTGGCACTAACGACCAGGAAATTGTAGCAATTATGCTCCTGTCGTAAAATGTCCTGATTTCACAGAATTGCGCCGTTTCAGACTTCAATGTGAACCCTTTGTGCTTTAATTTCCTCTAGCAATGGCAAATGAGCGTTGGACTGAGTGACGATGACCAGATGTTTTCCTGTTCAGTATGGAGGTAACATTCAAAACAGTGTTATATTGGTTTTTGGTGGTTCTACTTAATATGCAATACCAAAAATGAGGTTTACTCAGACGTACAAGCAAATCTAATCTCGGTTTTCTGTGTTTTCAAACATTGTGGTGTAATTTGAGATGAAAGAGGGAACGATATTGATTTTTCTGTCATTTTTTTTCACGATAGGCCCCAAGGGAAGTCATACTTGTTTTTTACCCAGTTCAAAGCTGAGATAAAAGGAGCCAAGATTGAATATGCCACTGCATATGTAAGTTTCATATTAACTTTAGCTATTCTTTATGACCTGACACCACATCAACTGAGTGAAACATTCAGCAATCCATAGAATATATGAATCAATATGAAGAAATGTGCTTTTAATGCGCTGGCGCATTTCATCAACCAAGAATATTCAGATGATAACTTTTTATTTGTGTGCTTTGCACATACAAAGAATTGGCACAGGTTTTTGAAGATCTTGTTTAAAATGTGTCCTTAGTCGTGACATTGACATTTGCCGTAGATCAAACCTTAATTCAGATTCCTAACGCTCGTCGCTCTCAGATCAAAAGCAGTCAGCCCTTTTTGTGCAGGTGTTGCATATCAAGACTTCGTGAAAACATCTTTATCTTCAGATTAAATTGAAATTCTCAGTAGCGGGATGACAGTGATATCCTGGTGGCCTTGTTCCCTGCGTAAATGTTTGAAACAAGCGCTCAATGGACTCAGTTTTCTCAGTGAGGATCTCTTTGTTATTCAGCCCACTCCTCTAGGCTTCTCCGTTAATGTCTTCATTCTCTCTTTCTCTTCCTCTCAGTCCCAGACGGCCGTGGGTGGACAGAGGGATGTTGCTTTGAAGGAAGAAGAGTACAGTGTGTCAGAGTCTTCAGGTGAGTCTGCATATTCATACTTCCAGCGAGGTTGACGCAGCAATTGGAAAAAAGCCTGGAAATGTCAGAGAATTAAAAATTTTTTTTTGCCAATTTCAATACTGAATATAAATGTTTCTAATCAAGCACATCTTTATTCTGTCATTCAGTGACCCACAGAGAAGGGACATTCCATTCCGAGCTTTCCAAGCTCACTGTCATTGGTCGGACACGCCATGATGAACTCTGATTGGCCCATCCGAAAGAGGATTGTCCCATCACATGAGGACATTAATTTGACAGCTATGGACACTCTGGCTGCTCACTGTCACAAGTCAAGCAAAGGAAATCAAACCACGGGAAGTTATGAAAGAAAGAACTTCCTGTGATAGAAAATTCTACAGAGATTTCCTTTAGAGGCATCATTACATTAAGAACTGGACTGATCATCTAAGGGAGGTAGATGAAAAGTCTATTATCAGACAATGTACATGCACATTTATTCATATTTGTGAGGTTATATGAAGGCTTCTTCAAATTAAGTTCAGAGCAGATTGATTTCTATTCCTGGCTGCATTTATGGGTTTAGGGTTTCAGCCTGACTTTGACTTCATACCTGCAAATCTGATTATCATGAGTGCATTCATGCTCATACTTACTTTCTTAAGCTGGTGTAATGGCACGCTTGTAGAGAATTTCCGCTAAATCTTTGGGGTATGTCAAAATCCTTTGATTATTTCTGTTGTGAAGGAAAAGACAGAAAAACAGTTACTTGAGTTCCTTTTTTTTGCCCAATTGTGGTTTATTCTGATAGCTAATGTACTGGAATTTTTAATAAATCTTTTCAGAACTGTTTGGTTCGACTTGTATTAATGTTTTTTATAAAGTAAATGTGAATTATCTGTTTCCAAGCACTTGTCATCTCAGAATCTGCAGACATCTTTTGCATTTCATTGCACTTGAGTGAAATTTGTATAATTCTGCTGCATGAACTTTAATTACACTAAAATGTGTTAGAAGGATTTCTGCAGATTTTTTTCAATGTGCAGATTCTGGTCATATTGTGGGATTTGTCCACTCAGCTCTGCAAAAGGACTGTCAGTACCACAAATGTAGATATGAGCATCTGCACCATGTCATAATTCTCATTGTCAGCCGTTCTGGAAATTAATGTCTTGAGCCAAAAACGTGACATTTTACCTACATTAGATTCTGTGCCACTTTAAAAAAAAAAAATTCCCCAAAATGCTTTATGCCGTCCTACATCTTTAAAACGCTTGAAATGAGCATTGCAATACACATGAGGGAGACAAAATGCTGTAAAAGTACGTAATTTGAGATGAAAGAGGGAACGATATTGATTTTTCTGTCATTTTTTTTCACGATAGGCCCCAAGGGAAGTCATACTTGTTTTTTACCCAGTTCAAAGCTGAGATAAAAGGAGCCAAGATTGAATATGCCACTGCATATGTAAGTTTCATATTAACTTTAGCTATTCTTTATGACCTGACACCACATCAACTGAGTGAAACATTCAGCAATCCATAGAATATATGAATCAATATGAAGAAATGTGCTTTTAATGCGCTGGCGCATTTCATCAACCAAGAATATTCAGATGATAACTTTTTATTTGTGTGCTTTGCACATACAAAGAATTGGCACAGGTTTTTGAAGATCTTGTTTAAAATGTGTCCTTAGTCGTGACATTGACATTTGCCGTAGATCAAACCTTAATTCAGATTCCTAACGCTCGTCGCTCTCAGATCAAAAGCAGTCAGCCCTTTTTGTGCAGGTGTTGCATATCAAGACTTCGTGAAAACATCTTTATCTTCAGATTAAATTGAAATTCTCAGTAGCGGGATGACAGTGATATCCTGGTGGCCTTGTTCCCTGCGTAAATGTTTGAAACAAGCGCTCAATGGACTCAGTTTTCTCAGTGAGGATCTCTTTGTTATTCAGCCCACTCCTCTAGGCTTCTCCGTTAATGTCTTCATTCTCTCTTTCTCTTCCTCTCAGTCCCAGACGGCCGTGGGTGGACAGAGGGATGTTGCTTTGAAGGAAGAAGAGTACAGTGTGTCAGAGTCTTCAGGTGAGTCTGCATATTCATACTTCCAGCGAGGTTGACGCAGCAATTGGAAAAAAGCCTGGAAATGTCAGAGAATTAAAAATTTTTTTTTGCCAATTTCAATACTGAATATAAATGTTTCTAATCAAGCACATCTTTATTCTGTCATTCAGTGACCCACAGAGAAGGGACATTCCATTCCGAGCTTTCCAAGCTCACTGTCATTGGTCGGACACGCCATGATGAACTCTGATTGGCCCATCCGAAAGAGGATTGTCCCATCACATGAGGACATTAATTTGACAGCTATGGACACTCTGGCTGCTCACTGTCACAAGTCAAGCAAAGGAAATCAAACCACGGGAAGTTATGAAAGAAAGAACTTCCTGTGATAGAAAATTCTACAGAGATTTCCTTTAGAGGCATCATTACATTAAGAACTGGACTGATCATCTAAGGGAGGTAGATGAAAAGTCTATTATCAGACAATGTACATGCACATTTATTCATATTTGTGAGGTTATATGAAGGCTTCTTCAAATTAAGTTCAGAGCAGATTGATTTCTATTCCTGGCTGCATTTATGGGTTTAGGGTTTCAGCCTGACTTTGACTTCATACCTGCAAATCTGATTATCATGAGTGCATTCATGCTCATACTTACTTTCTTAAGCTGGTGTAATGGCACGCTTGTAGAGAATTTCCGCTAAATCTTTGGGGTATGTCAGAATCCTTTGATTATTTCTGTTGTGAAGGAAAAGACAGAAAAACAGTTACTTGAGTTCCTTTTTTTTGCCCAATTGTGGTTTATTCTGATAGCTAATGTACTGGAATTTTTAATAAATCTTTTCAGAACTGTTTGGTTCGACTTGTATTAATGTTTTTTATAAAGTAAATGTGAATTATCTGTTTCCAAGCACTTGTCATCTCAGAATCTGCAGACATCTTTTGCATTTCATTGCACTTGAGTGAAATTTGTATAATTCTGCTGCATGAACTTTAATTACACTAAAATGTGTTAGAAGGATTTCTGCAGATTTTTTTCAATGTGCAGATTCTGGTCATATTGTGGGATTTGTCCACTCAGCTCTGCAAAAGGACTGTCAGTACCACAAATGTAGATATGAGCATCTGCACCATGTCATAATTCTCATTGTCAGCCGTTCTGGAAATTAATGTCTTGAGCCTAAAACGTGACATTTTACCTACATTAGATTCTGTGCCACTTTAAAAAAAAAAATTCCCCAAAATGCTTTATGCCGTCCTACATCTTTAAAACGCTTGAAATGAGCATTGCAATACACATGAGGGAGACAAAATGCTGTAAAAGTACCTTTTGCCCATTTTCATTTCAGTACCTGTTGAAAAATGCCTACATTTGAATACCAAGTACTGTCGCATTGTGTTTTTGTTAAAATATCCTCAGGATGTGTATCTGAGAACATCATATTGCTAAGGCAAGACTTCAAACACTAGACTAGAGTTAGAAAAGCAATAAAAATAAAAAAAGAATCCTTTAACTGCTGGGAGATTGGAATTGTGATTGCATCCCATTCCAGATGTCATCTAAGGCTAGAAATAATCTCCCGCTACCTTCGGCTTGCCTCTGACGTACAGTATTTCTAAGAAGTGGTCCCCAGTGGCCCATGTCACTCTCTAGATTTATTAGTACATGATGTTTCTGTCGTGTCCTCCATATAGACCTAAAGAGAAAATGTATTACAGGTTCACCTGCGGTCTAAGAGACGTTCCGTTCAATAAATTGCTGCTGCACTCTTGAGTTATCGGGTCCCATAAAGACCAAACTTACCGTAAAGGTGCCTGTAACACGGTACACCATGTAGAGTGTAATGCTCCACATTGTACCCTGAAGCCACGGTCTGCTCAAACAATGGTCGAGAGCAGTTTCCGTCTAAAGGGGTAGGGTGGCGTCTTCTGACCTTTGTCTTTTGCTTTAGGATTCACTCTTCCTGTTGTGCTGGCGTAGGGGTAAGGAGGAGGCTTCTGGCTATGGTGTCTTGAAGCAGTCCCTGATGTATCTCTTTGAGAAATGACCAACTCCTGAGTTGATTCCCGTTTTTGGTCTGCATCATGCAGCCCTTGATCTTTTATGGGATATGCTGGTGGGGCCACAGATGAAGTTGGTGTTTTGAGGGATGACTTGTCAGAGCAGACTCCTTGAGATGATGCCACTTCAGTGTCTATCCTTCCTGAGTGGCATCCTTTGAAAGTGTCCCCTGGTTCTTCATTGCCCATATCAATGTCAGCCGTCAACAGGTCTATCTTCTGGACCACCTGAATTCCAGGGGAAGACAAAGCATTGTTTATTTAGGTTTTAATGCAAATAGAGTTTTTATCAGGGCAAATTTCACGCAAGAGTGACAACAGGCTAGTTTACAATATTATGAAACTGTGGCAGAAAGCTGAGAGCGGACAGCTGATGTTTCTTGCCTGTCTGAGGGGACTAAAAGCCACCAGCCAACGTTCCTCTCCAACGTTGAATACATTTGCTAAATGAAGCGGATCAGACCAATCCTGCATTTAGTTTCACTCTCCGCTCACAGAAGAGAAATTGCCCAATGTGCAATAAATTCAGGGGCCTCTATAAACAGTATTCATTATTGATATGAAGATTAACATTAAAACAAAATTCATGGCCCGTGTGTTATCTAAAGTACGACCATTAAGAGTATCCGGCAGTTGATGGATAGTAAAGAGTTTGGGATTTAACTAAACAGAACATTTAAACGCCACCCTTTGTTGAACTCATTATGAGGAACATCTGTTAAGATCCCCAAGTGATATATAAACCTTTACCTCCTTTATTTCCAGACGTATCTCTTTCAGGCCATGTAGAACCTCCTCGAGATTCACAACAACTCTTTGGATCTGGTCCCGAATAGCTCTTTGCGAGTGCTTAGAGCTGAAAGCGTAAGACCCTCTTCCTGGTCCACTGAGATCCCCTTGGGCGACCTTTGCTTGACACTTAAGGTGCTTAGAATTGGTTTTGTTGACATCTTTGGTAGACAGCATAACTTCATACACCAGACTAGGTCTGTTAAATTCTTGCATGACACGTCCCATGCATCTACTTAAAGTTCCCTGTCCGTTAGAAGTGCAAAGTTCTGCATTCTTATTAAAGGTCGAATTGTGAGCAGCACTTGCATCCATCCAGTCCAATGCATGTTGTTCTGTAAGCAGGGCCCCTCGCACAGAGCCTGATTGTTGCTCCGCTGCACAAACAGGCACTCCACAGTTTCCATGACCTCTGAACTGTGTTGGCGCATCCAGAGCACACTTCCTCAAGAAGGGGTGTGGCTCGATCTGGTGCCGGTGGACCACAAAGCTGCATTCTCTCAAGCTGTAGTTCACAGAGACGCTGTTATGTTGCAGGCCCTTCCCTGGAGGCCGATTCCACCGCACGCTGGATAACTCTGTCTGACAAATCTGGCCAGTCACGTCTAGCCGTTCATGACCCCCCCGATTAGCTAAATGTTTCTTGGCAGTATATCCATTGAGGAGGGAATTGTGTTGTTTTGGTCCACAGGTGTTCGTTACATGGTCCCCAGTCCCAAAATAGGCAAGGATGTCCGCTTGGGGTCTTTGAATTCCATTTTGTAGTTGGTTTGAAGTGGTGGGTCGCATGCGTAGCTCCCTGACCCCTTTTGTCTCGGAGAACATTCTGTGGCCCAAGAAGGGGACTCTCGAGAGGACGTGTCCCTTCTTTAAGTGTCCCGGCTTTGTCATTACCAGGAGATGCTTTTCTCATCTGTCCTGTCTTTAAACTTTCTCTTGCATGTTTCTTTACTCTGACCGCCACCTTCTGGTGCGTTGTTTTCTCCCACAGATGTTATCCCAGTGTGTTTTCTTCCTCTGGACCCTTGCCCTTCTTTCTCTTTTACCTCACTTCGCTCCTATCGTCCTCTCGGTGGCGGCGGGCCTCTGTTTTCCACCCTCTCTCTCAAACTCCCTGCATTTCTGTTCCACTGGCTGTTGCTTGCTTCCTGCCTTTGACTCCCTCACCATCCCCTCTCTCTCGCTCGCTCGCACTGCGCTGCCTCCTGCGCTGCCTTTCTGGTTCATTCTTCCTCCCACTCCCTCACAGCTTTTCCTCTCTCCCTCTCTCCCTCTCGTTTACCTACTTGCAGGAACTCGTCGTACCTCAATCAATAAGGGGGGTCGTGGTGGGGAGGTTTAATCCAGTGCTGATGCTGTGTGTCCATGTATGTTCCCAGCCTCGGGACTGATCTGATTACTCCTGATTTGCCTCAGTACGCTATAATTACTCCCAGGATTTTATAGCAGGATGCCAGGGGAGGCACACTCCCCCTCTAGTGCTTTATGGGGCAGCACAGGCAGGGCTATTCCCTAAAAAAACGCATGAGGATGTGACTTTTAAAATTAATAATCTGGCACACTGCAGCATGAAAATACTTCTTAATGTCTTTGGTTTATTTCTAGTTTCTCTGGTGTGTAGGGGTTCTCAGAAAATGCATATATTCAAGATTTAATTCTACATTAGGAGCATTTCAATTGCATTTTTTAAATGTTTTAGTAACCACAACAGTTTTATGAGCTATATAATGACCTATAGAAAAATTTAATTAAATTGGAAAGTCAATGTATATGAAGAGTTCATTTGCAAAAACCGCTGATTGCCGTGCATTATTCTCCACATATAGCGCGATCTGAACCCTAAACACATTTTGTCAAAAAAGCCGGTTTTGTCCACTTTCAAGGCATCGCAAGTTCACATTTTACAGCAGAAGCCCACAAGCGCCCTTGTTGTTTTTGAACAGAAGCCGATAAGTCCATTTTAGCGAATCAGCGCGCTGTATTCAGGTCAGGTGACAAGGCTACTTTCACTTTGAAAAGACGCGCTAGCTGAGAGGAGTTTCGTCAAAGCTGACTAAAAGTGAACGAGAATGGATCATTTTGACGAACTTGATGAATCTGTGATATCTTCTTCAGGGCAGAAAAGGAAAATAAAAGCTGAAATGTTTTCACAGAACCTTGCAAAAGCAGCTTTCTTAAGCTATATGATAGACCTGTGTGATGGAAGTACTCAAATTTATAACTCAACCCACAAGCGCCCTTGTTGTTTTTGAACAGAAGCCGATAAGTCCATTTTAGCGAATCAGCGCGCTGTATTCAGGTCAGGTGACAAGGCTACTTTCACTTTGAAAAGACGCGCTAGCTGAGAGGAGTTTGTCAAAGCTGACTAAAAGTGAACGAGGATGGATCATTTTGACCCTGTATTTGTTTAAGTTATTATTACTTAATCAAAACAACCCAACTGCAGTTTAATTGATATTACTTGAAATGCGCAATAAAAAAAAAACGTGATTTCTGAAAAAATTATTAAAATGGAGTTATCGGTTTTTGCAAATTAAAACAACCCAACTGCAGTTTGACTGATATTACTTGGAATGCGCAATAAAAAAAACGTGATTTCTGAAAAAAAAATGTAAATGGAGTTATCGGTTTTTGCAAATGAACTCTTCATATATTTTCCACAGTTTTAAGTATTTCTTTGTTGTGTGACTGAAGTCCCGTGGAAACATTTATTTTCTTCACACTGCATTTGGTTCAGTGTGTGCATTTTGACAGCAAATTTTGATTTAGATTTACTCATAGTCTTTGGACTAAAATGCCATTTAGTTTTAGTCATATTTTAGTCATCTGAATTGTTTTAGTCTAGTTTTAGTCGACTAAATATTTTAAGACTTTAGTTGACTAAATCTACAGTAGATTAAGTCGGCTGAAATCTAATTGGTTTAGTTAGTGTAATGTATTTTTTAATAATTTCTCTAAAATTTCCAAACTTATTATATATTCCCGGAGAAAACATCTATTAACCTGGTAATATGAACATGCAATATAGACACAGATTTAACTGCTCTGACACATAACATGTCTTTACCTCAAAATTAAATAAAACCACTTCTCATAACATAACATGGTCCTCTTTTCAATGAAATACCAATGGTTAATATGCATTCTTTATAACATTTTGCTTACTTGTTTGCATACTTATTTATATAGATACAATTTAGATTAATCCTTATTAGGGCTATTAAAAGTGATTTAATCAAGAGCAGTGAGTGATTTTCTCTTGATTCATTAACAATAAGGACAGACAACAGCAACTAAATTAGGCTGCTGTCCCTTTAAAAAAAAGACTGCACGGATATGACTGGGATCTCTTCCCAGTCGCCCCTCCCTAACATTTTCATCTCATTTTTATTCGTTGACAAAATTCAATAGATTTTCATAATTGTTTTTGTCATTCAAAGAGTTTTTATTTCGTTATCGTCTTGTTTTTGTCTGTGAAAAAATGTTGTTGGCGAAAATGATGAAAATTACTCATCAACGAAACATTGGTTTGGTTTCAGTTCTTTTCTCATTTCCACATAAACTGAAAGATCATTCTGAGAAAGGTCAGAAGTGTTACCGCTAACACAGTCTGATTCATATTCATATCCAGAAAAAGAAGAAAAAAAAACTTACACTGGGACTGCATTTACTAACTATATTTTATTATAAACTACTACTCATGGCCTTGATATTGCAAGATAATAAACAATTACAGATACTATACAATAAGTTTTCTCATTTCCACATAAACTGAAAGATCATTCTGAGAAAGGTCAGAAGTGTTACCGCTAACACAGTCTGATTCATATTCATATTCATATCCAGAAAAAGAAAAAGAAAAAAACTTACACTGGGACTGCATTTACTAACTATATTTTATTATAAACTACTACTCATGGCCTTGATATTGCAAGATAATAAACAATTACAGATACTATACAATAAACAACTGAAACAATTGGGTTTCATTTTGGTCTCATGACCTCATTACATCGTATAAATATATTAAATTTGCTTATTTTGTACTTTTACATATTGTGTACTTTTGGCAGTCTGATCAAATAATGTAAAAATGTGGATTTAATTGTTTTCAGTTCATCACTCTCAAGGTCAAGTTGAGGATGTTGCATTTTGGGATTTAGTTGTATACTGGATGTCAGAGCTAATGTAATGCATGTAATGCAAACATACTCCAAGGACCGTAATAGCAGCATGTTAGCATGCTATTCTAAACAAGAAACTGATTTGAATACAGCAGTTTGGTGATACTAATGGTGCATAAATTTCACTTTAAGAAAAATAAAAAATAAAAGCAATAAAAATCTTGTGCATAACACTAGGTCTTGCAGCCGACAGCGACATGACTAAAAAGACACCGTTCAATGTTACTGATAAACAACTTGAAAGAAGCAACAAAGATGTTATCGTCCACGTTGCTTTTGTGGGCTAACGTTCCCAGAGCGCTGGTCAGAGGGCCTTCTGTTTGACACCAGATACATCACAAAGCAGTGCTTTGAGACATGACTCTCACGCTGAGTGCGAGCCATAAATAGTGCAAAACGTGGCTGTTCGTTTGAAATTAATTTTGGATGCATAAGTGCTGTTACCTGTCAAGACTGATGACACTATATAACACTAATGGTCTGCAGATGCTAGTCAACAGCTGTGGTGTGTTTAGACTCAGACACTTACACTATGCAGCACTAACGCTACGCTCGTTTTCTTTTTTGTACTGAATTTTGATAAGGCACCAGATCTTACAAGCCTTAGCTAGCTGATTATAATACATGCTTTAAATGTGATTCCCATCTTTGTCTTGTGGTCAGATGGTCATTTCTACACCTCTGGTGACGGTTACCAAGACAACTGACAGGCAGCCGAGAAGGCAGCCATGCGTTTTTGCAGGTTAGGTGTGAAGGGACATTGCGGTGAACGGGTCAATGCATGACGTCATGGCCAGCTATTAATAACTCAGAAATTCCACTTCTAAGAAATAAAAACCAGGACAAACAAGGTGATTTAACCCACCCAGCGGGGTCCGTAATGTAATGTCACTGATAGTACAACCTTGAGAGCCGTACAGAATATCAGTGAATTCTTTATATAGGCTATGTATTTGTTATTATATAAATAATTGCTTTACATTCACGTTTGCTTTTAACTGAAAACTTTAGATCCCCAAAGGACACTCTAGAGGAGAGAAAAGCGAAGGAGGAGGAAAAGAACTTGCCAGGTTTAAGAACTTAAGTCCCTGGTAACTGACACGTCTCAGGTATCAGCCGGAGGGAGATCGAGCATCACCAGAGAGAATAGAAGCGGTGTCAGAACGACACCGAGACAGCCGTGAGAGGAATAGCAAATGAAACCAGTGTGTCATTTTCACACGTTTTTATATTTTTATATTGTCTCGCTCTCATCAGGCCCGTGAACATCCCTGCGATTGGTTTCAGGCTCGGGACTGGCTCAGAGAGAATTAGGATTATATTTTTATACGGATACCACACTGTAAACATTACCATACACAGACATATTTCTTAGCATGAAACCATCAATATGTTCAGAATTTGTTTTAGTGAAAATGAATACATGTTCCTGGTCTTATTGTGAAAGATTCCTCTCAAAAGGGAAAAAAAAAGTCCTTGTAATCTTTAATCTAAATGTAATAACTCTTATTCTGAAATGAATGCCTTTTTTTGGCTTACATCGCTAAAACATTTATCCAACCACCCGTCATACAGAGCAGGTTCATTCTTGGAAACGCCCACATTTCACGATCTAATCAATAAAACTTTTTTTTAAATCCTCATAGAATATTATTTTATCCCAAAATAAAATCTAGAAAAAAATGGGTTGGGGACACTGTATTATGTTAATGCTAAACATGCATCGGCAATGTCACAATTCATGTAAGGGGAAAGAAAAAGTTCTAGAAAAAACTATCTAGGATGCCTAGAGAGATTAGCATACTGTAATCCAAGGCAAACATGCTAATACCACTTGGACTCTTAAACGAGATTGTTCTGCATTTCTTCACTAAATAAAAACAGAACGCATGCCTCTTAAGAATGACATTTATACACACACACACACACACACAAATACCGTATGTATAAACAATTTCTAGAAAATAAAAGAAAACCGTGTACATTAATAGAACTTGTTTGTGATGAACAAAAATAACCAAGCAAATGTGAATGCTCAGGTGACATCTGCAAAAAGCAAACAAGGTATCCAATCCTTTGTTTAAATTGGCCCAAAACACCACATTTAAGAGGCATTTGAGACTGAACCCTGAGAGGTTTTAGTATAATCAGAAGGTATGGCTTTCACTGCTGTCAAAGTTACTCAAAAGTTTCACTTTTTCCATTGAAATTGTTGATATTTTATTTATTAGATGGAGCTTTACTTAAAAATCTAGTGACAAGACAGCAAATTCAAACAACCCTCTACTATTGACTTAAAAAGAAAACAAAATAATAATAATAATAATGTGCATAGATAGAGGGGGAAACCCCCCCAAAAAGTTCACTAAGAGCTTTATATAGGCCTTAAGTTATCCCAGAAAGATCCAAATAACTCAAACTTTGTGATTCTTTCAGTTTGTCATTTTGTAAAAAGACCGTTTAAAATATTCTAGGTTAAAATCAAGTATACGTACAAACAAAACGTGGGCAGATTTGCTAAGTCTATGGGACAAGTATACAGCTGCCTCAGACTTCTACTAAGAGCATTTCTGCATGCACATTTCTTGGTAGCTTTTACAATGTTTTTGTGCTAATCGACATCCTCACCCAGTAAAATATACTAAATCTGTCAAAACTGCTGGAGCTAAAACAAACTGGTGGCAGAAATGGGACATTAAGACGTTGAATTCTTTGTTCATACAAGTTAAAAACAATCAGAAGTGACGTATCAGGGAAATAACGGCTCAGTTGTGTATTTATACATATAAAACCTTCATTAAAACAGTAAATAAACATGTTGAAAGGTAGTACAGTGACATTCTAGCACATTCTTCATTCCTCGATAAGGAACTGCATCGTGGTAAAGACCTCCCATCAGCAGGGGGCGATATGGAGTGGAAAAACAAACAAGACGAACGTAAACCCCTATATGACCAAGTTTAGAAATCACAGGGGTGACGGTTTACAAATATTTCAGTATCAACCTCCAGATGAATCACATCAGACATGACCAAAAACAGTCATTTTGGGTTGCAGATTTAACGTGTCTATTTTCGGGAAGCGAGAGGGTGATGCTGCAGGCTCATTTCCTAAAATCAGAGATGAAGCGTTGCATACATATCCCCCAGTGCATTTCGCATTTGCAGTGCTTGAAATGTCCTCTAAGCATCAAAAAGGTTTGCAAATGGTCCTTCATTTCCTCTGATGGTGGATCTTAATCTATGCTCTCAAATTACCTTTGGACAAATGGGAGCAAGATTTGCATTGGCGCTATAAACCACCTCTAACCCCCGTTTTTAAAAATACAGGAGTCAAGAAGACGATCCACTGGAAGGACAAACGTACATTCAAGACAGATGAGTTAGTGTCCAATGAACAAATAAGGCACGAGATATTCCGAGCTTAAGCTCCATTTAAAACACACAAGAACATGTTCAAATAAATTGAGCATTTCCATAAACAGGTAATGGTCAAAGATTGCCATCATCCAGCATCTTGTTGACTCCTTCACAGATCTTCTGCAAGTGGCCGCGGTACACTTCCGAAGGTCCATACAGCGTCGCGAGGAACTCGCAGTCGGAGAAATGATTGAAGACGTGGTTGACACGGCCGTGAGATTTCGCCGTCAGGTGCCGGTTGATGGCCTGGTGCAGCAGTTCGCGGCAATCGTTAAGCAGGTT